AACGCCTTCCTGCGGATCCTGGACGGCCTGGCCAAGAGGCGGATGGACCCCGGCCTGTGCGAGAGGATCCGGAAGGTGTACGGCGACCTGGAGTGTGAATACTGCGGTAAGAGAGGCGGCGGGGCGCTGGGGGCCTCCCGCCACCCTCCACCTCGCTCGGGTCACCTCGTGCTCGCTGTGAGCCCACGTCTCTCCCGAGAGCTGACCCTCCTTTCCAGAGCGATGGTGGCCCCGCGGTGAGGTCTTCGCGGAGGCGGCCAGGGTGAGGGACAGCGAAGTGTGGGCTCAGGCGGCACGCAGAGGCCCTGCCCGCCTCTGCCAGGGTGTTACCCAAGGAGAGCTTTGTGCTGGCACGGCCGTGGGTCCCGTAGGGCTTTGCGTGTGGCCGAGGTCCAGAGGAGCAGAGAGGGCTCGGACGAGGCTGCAGCGCTTTGCAGGGAGCCCCCGATAGAACCTTCCAGACACAGAGCAGGCTTGGCCTCCGCCCGAGAGCTGGCAGGGCAGGAGCAGGAGGCCCAGCTCTGGACCGGGGACCCCAGAGTCCCTGGCGTCCAGAGACCCTTCGATATATGCGTGTGCATCACAGTGGTTGGCACCTAAAGGGTCCTCCTCTCTTGGCTCTGACCTCAGGCGAGAAACGTAGCACCTTTAATGTTTGCCTCTGAAAAGTAAATTCCAGACAGAAATGTGGCGGAAAGTGTGAAGGGGAACCCGGACCAGCAGGAGACGCAGAAAAATATAGTAGTTACTAAGCAGTAATAATGTGAAAAAGAATCAAGTTCAGTATAAAAGAAACTTCCTTGTTCTCACGTGAGCATGTTTTTTTAGGCAAACTTTTTTGGTACCAAGTGCACTTTGACATGCATGTCCGCACCCACACCCGGGAACATCTGTATTATTGCTCCCAGTGTCATTATTCCTCCATCACCAAAAACTGCCTTAAACGCCATGTCATTCAGAAACACAGTAACATCCTGCTGAAGTGTCCCACGGATGGCTGTGACTACTCGACTCCAGATAAATATAAGCTGCAGGCCCACCTTAAAGTGCACACAGAGCTGGTAAGTAGAAGCCGGGGGCAGCCCGTCTCCCCTGGGTGCTCATGGCTTGCTCACCTTCATGCCAATGGAGGTGTCCCCGCTTCGTGTCCATCCAGTGTGTCAGCGTCCACCCTGAACCAAGAGGCCTTCTCACCACGCAGGCTCTTGGCCTTCCCAGAGCCTTCACAGGAGAGCCTCCAGTTGGATAAAAAAAAAAAAAAAAGATGAGAGGGAATAAACTTGCTTTCTGTGCAGAATGTTCAGCGTTGGAGAGAGTCTGCAGAACAGAAGGGAAGCCAGCTCTCTCAGCGATGTGTTAAGAATACTAACGGGGGTAACGTCGTCCCCGTAGCTGCCACCGGAGTTGTTGAAGGAGGCAATTAGATGACGCCTGCCAAGTGATAATGAGGCGATTGGTTCATAGTCAGAGCACAGCGAACCGTGACGACCACGGTTGTCTAACGGTTGTGTTATTTGTAGGAAATCAAGAGAATATCAGTGAAGCAATTTTATTTTCATCTCATTTTATTTTTTAATATTTTCTTACTGATTTCAGAGAGGAAGGGAGAGGGAGAAATAGAAACATCCATGATGAGAGAGAATCATTGTTTGGCTGCTTCCTGCACGCCCCCTACTGGGGATTGAGCCGTAACCCAGGCATGTGCCTGACCAGGAATCGAACTGTGACCTCCTGGTTCATGGGTCAATGCTCAATCGCTGAGCAAAACTGGCCGGGCAAGCAATTTTATTTTTAAAAAAGCGATGTGTTTATTCAAGGTGTGGTTCATATTCACGATGGTAAATTTGTTCACTTCTTTGGTGGGAGATTGTATAACAGCACATGACTATTTATTTTTGCGACTCATCTAGTTGGGATGACAGTTGGGAGTGATTTGAGACGGGTGTTGGGGACACGGCGGGCCCTGGTGGGGCTCGTTTCCATGGCATCCTTCCTATGCCTCAGGCGGCACAAAGCGAGGCTTTGGAGACTGGATGTCATGCCACCGTTTCCTGGCACCAAACACTGTGGCATGTTGTCATTAGGGTGACGTCAGGGTTGCCCAGGTTTTGTGGGTGGGCGAGAGCATGCCCTCTGGGGTTAGGAACCTGGATTCGAATCCTGTCTCCAGCACTGCACAGGCTGTGTGACCTTGGGTGTCACTTGTCCTTCCTGCGCGGCCCTCTGTATGAAATCTGTATTAGAAAGTACATATCTGTCTTACGTACGCACATACACAGGTATATATACGCACACACACATATACACATGTATACGTACACACGTGTTTTTTTAAATGACTTTTTTCACTTCCAGTTGACATTCGATATTATACTAGTTTCAAATATACAGCATAGTGGTTAGACATTTATATAATTTATGACATGATCCCTCGATAAGTCTAATACACACATGTACACATCCATGAAACACAACTAACAACAGCACACACAGGTACACACATGCACACGCGTGTTTGTGCGTGTATATAGATCCCTGGAGTCAATGGGAGGTGAGAATGGAATGCTCGAGCTGAGGAACTCACTCAGTGCTGGCTGGCTGTGTGTCAGCGGCTGCCTGTCCCCTGGTTCTGCCTGCTACTCGGTCCTGCTTCCTTCCCGAATGGCTGACAGGTTGGTGTGGCTCCCAGGTTCCCTGGGCCCGGGAACCAGGTGTCAGGAGGCGTTATTGTGACTTTGCCAGAAATGCCTGTGAAGCCAGGAGGGAGGGAGGCCGACACTGAACAGGATTCTCAGGGAGCGTGGGGTGTCGCCGTTCATCCCAGGACCCAGACTGCCGCCCCGCTCAGCCTCAGGACGAATCACAGGACCGGGCCTCAGCTGACCCATCCTCAGGGAGGGCGGAGTGAGGAAGGACAGGCAGCTGCCCGCACAGCCCGGCGTGGAGCGCATCACAGGCAGGTGGCTGTCACCCTGTTCCTACTGTTCCATCGTTCATTTCGGAACGTGGTGCTCTGGGTTTTCAAACACGGACTTGGGCCTGATGAGAGGAGGAAGCTGGAGGAGAGATTCACAGTCCGGGCCTGTTTTTCCATGCCCAGTGCCTGTGTCGGAGGGACTCGGGGTCCCCCCAGCTATGTTCTGGCCCCTGGATGGGGGAATTGCCTCCCGGCCACATCCCAGGGGTCACAGGCAACGGGGTGTCAGGGACCTGCTCTCAGCCCTTCAGCCCCAACTCATGGGCTTTCGTTTTTCTTGATAACTGGCATTTAAGAAGCTTCTCTTGTCCACTTTCTGTGGTTATGGATCTCCGCCCAAGGGGCCCCTCTCGGTATGGGCACTCGGAGGTGGAGTGACTGTGCTGCCCCCCATCCTCCGAGGTGCATGGGTGAGCTTCTCGATGGAAAGTGGGGTGCAGACAATGCCAGGGTGGGGCTGGGTGGGTGGGGAGAGGGTGCTGTCCTGAGGGGGGCGAGTCCTCGCGTCAGCCTGGGGCTTGGTTCTCACTGTGACCCTCGGGTCTGAGGCCAGGGGTGTTGAAAGCCCACTGGACCCTCCCCTGTGATGCAGGCCTCGCCTGTTTCAACACCGATTCCCATGCCGTGCAAAGTGAGGACATTGAAAAGGAGCCTCCATCCAGTGGACCTGGACCCGGTCTGTTCCCGTTGTGGCAGGGCTCAGGGTGCTGGGTTTCGTTCCCGGGGACTCAGCCGTTTCTCAGCCCAGGGTCCACCGAGGGGTTGGAAGGTGTGCACCCACTTAACACGGTTGCTTCCTGGCACCTCTCCCTCCGTTAGCAACTAGACCAGTGGTTCTCAACCTTCTGGCCCTTTAAATACAGTTCCTCATGTTGTGACCCAACCATAAAATTATTTTCGTTGCTACTTCATAACTGTAATGTGGCTACTGTTATGAATCGTAATGTAAATATCTGATATGCAGGATGGTCTTAGGCGACCCCTGTGAAAGGGTCGTTCGACCGCCAAAGGGGTCGCAACCCACAGGTTGAGAACCGCTGAACTAGACAGTGTGACGTACAGTCAGGGCTGTACTGGAATCAGGAGATGTGGGGCCTGGTCAGGGTCTTGGTCGGGGACATGTCTGGACCCCTGTGCAAACATGGGGAAGGGAGTCTTGAGAGAAGACGCTGTTTGTACAGCGAGAGGGGCTTGGGGTTCTGGCAGGCTGGAGGCAGACCCCGCGTCCACGTTTGGGATCTAGGGTGACTGCTTAGCTTCCTGGAGCCTCACTTTTCTCATCTGTGAAATGGACATGACGCCCCTGTCCTATTCTCGGGGTGGTGAGGACTAAGTTAGGAAACGTGTAGAATAACGAGGTCGGCGTGTGTTCGGGCCCGAGTCACGGTCCATTCCCGATCCCTTACGGTGCCGCTCACCGCGTTCGGTGGACCTCGGCTACTCCACCTTAAAGGAAAGGGGATCGAACAAAACAGAAATTACCGCATTACCCGCCCACACCCAGGTAAGTGTTATTTTTGAGACCTGTGTTTCCGTACGTTTATGTGTCAGTATGTGTACCTGTGTGTGCGGGGTGGCGAAGTGACATGTTTGTCAGTCACTGACCTGTCAGTGCACCGTTTATTTGGCTATAAAGGTGAACTAATTTAAAAAATCTTACCAACGATCGGTGCCAGCAAAGCAGAGGAAGGAAAGGGAGCTGCCACCTGTCCCTCTGGGAGTAGCGGTCCGTCTGCGGTGGTTTCCTTCCTCCAAGTGGAGGGAAATGTTCCCGACCTTGAATGATGGGACACAGCTGTTCCTTTCCCGGGCGACGGGAGGGTGGACCTTTCTTACCTGGTCACAGGCCAGTTTGTTTCTCTGTCGCCCGCGGGCGCGTGTCCCCAGAACCGGGGACCTCGGGCCACCAGAGTGTCCCCTGCACAGAGCAGCTTCCTGGCAGCTGCCCTGGGCCCGAACCACAGGGGCGCGGCCTGGCAGAGCAGAGCCGCTGCGGGTGAAGGGAGACCCTTCAGCTGAAATCCCAAAGGGAGCCCGATTCTGGCTCCTTCCTCACTGTTCACAGTGGGAGCGTCCCCTGTCCTGCCTCCTCCGTCCTGCGTGTCCCTCGGTGATGATGGGCTCCAGGTGTTGTTGCTCCTTGTGGGTGGCTCAGTGGCTCACGCCTTTGTCCTCGGGGTGAAGGAACGAAGGGCTGAGTCCACAGAGGGCGGTGGTACCGTAGCCGTGGCCTTCGGTCCCTGAGACAGTGTTCGAGTGCAGTCTCCCACCTTATGTTTCTAAGTTAATTTCAAATGTTTCATAGGTGTACTTAGGCCAGTTAACACATCTGGTGGCGCAGGCGTGTAGACCCAGGCGAGGTTTGCCCAGAGTGAGCCCGGGGGCTGCACCGTGGGCTGTGGCCATGGCCGTGGCCTCCAGCTGCCGCCTCCCTCCTTTCAGAGTCTTGTGTTGCTCTGAAGGTCACTTCCCTGGGAACACGCAGCTCCCAGGGCCGGGCTCTGTCACCGCCATCACGGTGTGCAGCTCGCATCCGCTGCCTCTGCCAGGAAGGCTTTAACCACCGCGCTTTTTAACTTTGCTTTGTCGGTCCGGGTTTTCATCTCCGGTACGGAGCGGAGGTTTTGAAAAAGAAATAAATGAGTTCTAAGAGTGCACCCTTTCCCACCGCCCATGTCCTTCCGCCAGCCTTCAAAGGCATCGGGAAATGAGGGGCCCTGATAAGCTCTGAGATAAATTGCTTTCAGACGATCAGAGATTAAAAGGAAAAAAATCAAATACCAAGGACTCAGGGGAGATCACCGCAAACTCCTTCAAAGCTTCCGAGAGCCTCCGTCAGCTCTGAGGACGTGGGCGTGACGGGTCTCCTCCGGGTGGGTGCCGGGCCCACGCATCCTTCAGATGTCACGGTGACATTGTGTGAGCGCCTGTGTGCCATGCGGGAGGCCGAGGTGACCTGGGAGGGTGGGGCAGAGGAGGACAGTGACGGGAGCACACAGAAGCCTGGAGCGTGATGCGGTCTGGGCAGAAGTCCTGGGCGCTGGCTGGGCCTCGCGCTGGCTGCCCACACCCCGGACACCTGGGCCTGGCGGGCAGGCTTGGACCCCAGAGGTGTGAAATGCATCCACACCAGTTGGTTGTTCGGAGGGACTTGGTTATTTGTTTTATTTTTTTATATTTTATTTTTATTTTTGTTAATCCTCACCTGAGGATATTTTTCCATTGATTTTTTTAGAGAGAGTGGAAGGGAGAGGGAGAAACAGAGAGAAACGTCAACGTGACAGAGACACATCAATTGGCTGCCTCCTGAACACACCCCAACCAGGGCCGCTGGGGAACCTGCAACCAAGGTATGTGCCCTTGACCGGAATCGAACCCGGGGCCCTTCAGTTCGCGGGCCGATGCTGTAGCCACTGAGCCAAACTGGCCAAGGCTGTTTTTGTTTTTAAATACAAAGTACCCTTTTCTTAAGTGTACTCTGGGGAGCACCAGCCTCCGGGGGTGTCCTGCGAGTCCACCAGGCAGTCTGGCCCTGAGGGTCTGTCCTCTGAGGCTGAGCTGCGGGAACACAGCCACGCCCACCCAGCAGCGTCGGTCACACTCATCCAGCACTCACTGTGCTGGGCACTGGATGTGCTTTTTGGACACACTTTACTGTTTAGAGCAGTTTTAGGTTCAAAATTGAGCAGAACGTACAGATTCCCCGTGTGCCCCTCCCCCACACGCCCAACCTACCCTGGACGAGCCCCACTTGGTCGCGGTGTAAGGTTCCTTCATGCACCGTTGGGCTTGATGTGCTCACGTTCTGTGGAGGTTTGCATCTGTGTTCATGGCGATCCTGGCCTGTTGTCTTCTCTTCTGGTAATGCCTTTGGTTTTCTTTAGGGTTAGCTGGTGAGGCGGTGGTCGGGCCTGGTGAGGGCCTCCCTGCAGCCTGGGCAGGACTCGGCTCTGGGCCGGAGGAGCCCAGCTGGGCACCCGCACACTCGGCTCCGACATGGCCTCAGTTTCTTAATCTGTAACATGAGCACAACAATGCCGTCCACGGAGAGTCTCCTACACTCTGTTCTCTGACCCCCGTGCACGCCGTGCCCTGAGCGCTGGGGACGCGGTGTGTGCTGGCCTGTGTGGAGACGCGAGGCCCAGCCCTGCCCTGCAGCCTGGCCACCTCTGCAGGACTGCCACCTCTCACTGCGCCCAGCCCTCCCTCTGACCCTGGCTGGCCAGCTGTGCGGGCAGATGTGGGGCAGGTGCAGGCCTCGAGGGGCAGGTGCAGGCTGCACGCGCGTCCCCGGACAGGGGCACTGCGCATCTAGCTTTCATGGTGGTGGCGGCGGCGGTGGGGGCGGCGACCTTTCCACAGAGGCGGGTGAAACCAGACCGTCAATTGATTGCGCTCTCTTTCTGTTAAGGACAAAAGGAGTTATTCTTGTCCTGTGTGTGAGAAGTCTTTTTCAGAAGATCGGTTGATAAAGTCGCACATCAAGACGAACCACCCGGGTAAGGCTGTGCAGCTTGGAGGGGGAGATCGATATGAAAATGCTCACACTCATTTCAGAACAGCGATACCCGTCGGCTGCACCACAGGGAGCAAAGAGGGAGGACGAGAGGCGTGACCCGGAGGGAGACCGTCCTCTCTGTCTAGAGCCGGGAGCTTATATCATTATTTGCCTCATTTATCCTCTTATCTCCCCGGGGTCACATGAGCCCCTCCCCCTCTCCAACATGAACTTCGAATGCCTTGACGTGGGTCCCCTCGGGTGCCCCTGAGAAGATGCCACCCCGGAGCCAGGCCTGCCCAGCGTGGTGGCCTGTGAGGTGTGGGCTTCCTCCCAGGCCCAGGTGCCTCCGTGAGCTGGAGTGACCGTCACCTTTGGTCAGTTCCACGCCACTCAGATGCGGGAAGGTGAGGCCTGGGCCTTCATATCTGTCACTCTGTCCTCACCACCTGGGATTCATCTCCATTCTGTCCGATTAACTCCTGTTTACTTTTTATTTTTTAAAAATATGCTTTTATTTATTTTAGAGAGAGAGGAAAGGAGAGGGATAGAGAGAGAAACATTGATGAGAGAGAAACATCTATTGGCTGCCTCCTGCACGCCCCCTACTGGGGATTGAGCCCTGACTGGGAACTGAACAGCGACCTCCTGGTTCACTGGTTGATGCTCAGTTGCCACTGACCCGCACCCGCCAGACAGTTCCTGTTTCTAGATTCCTCTCAAAGCCCCTCTGGGGGAGGCTTGGTGGCCCAGGTGTGGGCCAGCGCCCCCCCCTGCCCCCCCGCGTGCTCCCATCACATGCGCACACACTGTTCCCGCAGCCCCTGGTCCTCTCAGGGAGGGCTCCCAGGTACCCACAGCTGAGTCCTCAGTTGTCACACTTGTTTCCTGTGTCAGCCCCCCACGCTTTGTTTTTCCCTGGAACATTCTTTGAAAGTGTATCCCAGACAGCATGTCATTTCCCCACAAACAGAGCTTTCAAGGCGTCTCTAATGAGGATCCTGTCAACATCACCGCTGGGCCAGCATTGAAACAAGCGGGGTCACACGCATCCCTGTCCCACCGCGTGTCGGGCCCCTCCCCGTTCCCCCAGTGACACAGGTGGTTGTCCTTTACGGTCGGCTTGTTTGACGCAAGACCCACGCCTTCTGCTTCAGGCGCATGTCACTGAAGTGTCGTGTCTCACAGGACACCCGCCCCCGCTGCCTGTTCCCCCATGACATGGTTTCATTGGGGGAACCGGTCACGTTTCCTGGACAGTGTCACATTCCGCCTTTATCCGAGGTCATGCACGTGCATATTTGGATTTGAGACCTGATTAGGTTCTGGGGTAACGGTTTAGGCAAAGCTCCTCTTGTGACCCCCGAGGCACGCCCCCGTCGGCCTCCTCTGTGCTGTGGGCCTGACCCGTGGGCTCAGGTGCCCCACGAGGGTCCCGGCTGCGGCGATGACCGCCCGCCTTTCTTGCAGAGGTCTCCATGAGCACCATCTCCGAGGTGCTGGGCCGGAGGGTTCAGCTGAAGGGGCTGATCGGCAAGAGGGCCATGAAGTGCCCGTACTGTGACTTCTACTTCATGAAGAACGGCTCCGACCTGCAGCGGCACATTTGGGCTCACGAAGGTGAGTGTCCGCCGTGGAGTGTGGCGCCTGCACGCTTCCACTGGGAGGAGCCTGGAGGCAGCCACGTCTTCGGGACTCCTGCCGTTAGAACTCCTCTCGCACACTCAGAAGCGTGCCCATCCATCCCTTCGACCAGGGCCCAGTTACGTATTTAGTTGCAGTTGCGGGGGTGAGCGATGTGCAGGTCTTCATAGCTCTCCTTAAAGACATCGCAGGATGCCCTGCTCTAGGCAGCAAGGGTCTGCCTCAGGCACAGCAGTACCTCCGGTGCCCACAAGGGTGAGCCTCAGTCACTGCAGTACCTCCGGTGCCCACAAGGGTGCGCCTCAGCCACAGCAGTACCTCTGGTGCCCACAAGGATGAGCCTCAGTCACTGCAGTACCTCCGGTGCCCACAAGGGTGCGCCTCAGCCACAGCAGTACCAAATATTTAGTATATATTTATTGATTTCAGAGAGGAAGGGGGATGGAGAGAGAGAGAAACATCAATGATGAGAGAGAATCATTGATCAGCTGCCTCCTGCACACTCCCCACAGGGGATTGAGCCTGCAACCCGGGCATGTGCCCTGACTGGGAATCCAACTGTGACCTCCAGGTTCATAGGTCGATGCTCAGCCCCTGAGCCACGCCGGCTGGGCCCCATTGGTTTTTTACCAAGGCCCTTGGTTGTTTAATTTTGTTCAGTTTAAGGCATTGGAGGTGGATTTGAGGAGCATCTGGTGGAGGAGCTGCTCGGGCCTGTGGGGAGAGATGTGTGGACAGCGCCCTGCAGTGGCCTGAGCAGCACAGCGGGCTGAGAGCTGCAGGGCGTGGGCACAGAGGCCGGGACACGGGGCATGTGCTTGAGGAGGAGGAGGAGGTGCCGAGGGGAGGCCTGGAGGCTCAGGAGGGGAGGGCGGCCCAGTCGGGGGCGCAGCCGGGAAGAGCGGGCGTGGAAAGTGTGCGGTGTGTTTAGGGCAAGCCCTGCGCTGCTTTGTTCAGGGTGGGGTGGGCACACACACACGGAGACGTACACGTGTGGGCATGGATGTACTGTCTCCCCGGCAGGCGTGAAGCCCTTCAAGTGCTCTCTTTGCGAGTACGCGACGCGCAGCAAGAGCAACCTCAAGGCGCACATGAATCGCCACAGCACGGAGAAGACCCACCTCTGTGACATGTGCGGCAAGAAGTTCAAGTCCAAGGGGACGCTGAAAAGCCACAAGCTCCTTCACACCTCGGACGGTGAGTACGTGCCTCCCTCCCGTGTGGCGTGAGGCTGGCACCCCGAGTCCAGCAGCAACTGTGGGTGTCGGGCAGGTGAGGGCACGTCTTGTGGAATTTATGTTCTGAGAGGCAGCAGCCGCGGCCCCATGTCAGTCAGGGCTTGTGTGTGTGTGCGTGTGTGTGCATGTGTGTATGCCATGTGTGTGTGTGCGTGTGTGTATGCCACGTGTGTGTGTGCGTGTGGACAGTGTGGGAGAGCGTGGAAGGTTTCAGGGAATGGGCATCCCCGGAGGCCTTGGCCTTTGGCTCTGCAGCTGCAACCCTCTCAGCCCTCCATCCCCCCAAGCCTGCGACGCTGGGGGCGCCCCTGATCACCCCGCCTGGTGTTCCCACTGGGGGCGCTTTTCATCCAGGCCCCGCCCAGGTTTTCACGTTCAGTCCACAACCTGGACTGAAGCACAGACTCTGTCGGGCAGATCTGACCTTAGTAAAGTGTGAAGTGGATTTCTAATTTCATTCGTTCGTTAAGAGCCATGGACTGAGTTCTGACTACGCCGGCCGTGAAGGTAGGTTCTGGGGCACAGGGTCGATGAGGAGCGGTGCCTGCCTTCTGGGAGGTGATTGCCAGTGGGAGGAGAGCGTGCGCCGTGGACAGGGCGGGCGCAGTGATGGGAGGAGAGCGTGCGCCGTGGACAGGGCGGGCGCGGTGATGGGAGGAGAGCATGGGCCGTGGACAGGGCAGGCGCGGTGATGGGAGGAGAGCGTGTGCCGTGGACAGGGCGGGCGCAGTGATGGGAGGAGAGCGTGCGCCGTGGACAGGGCAGGCTCAGTGATGGGAGGAGAGCATGGGCCGTGGACAGGGCGGGCGCAGTGATGGGAGGAGAGCGTGCGCCGTGGACAGGGCAGGCGCAGTGATGGGAGGAGAGCGTGCGCCGTGGACAGGGCAGGCTCAGTGATGGGAGGAGAGGGGGCGCTGGGAGGCGGCGTGAGTCCTGGTGGGCGGGAGGGCGGTGGGCCTCGGTCACAGTGGCCGGGAAGGCCATCCTGAGGGGATGGGTAGAGCAAGGAAGGCGAATTGTAGGAAGACAGGCAACTGAACCTAAAAGGCCTTTAATATTTTTTGTTTTCCTTTACATTCGTGAGGGCCTTGTGAATACTCTCTGTCACAAGACTAACAAGCTATGTTTGTAAATGTGTTTTTACTTAGTGTAATCACATGTAAGAGTAGGAGTTTATAATAAATATCCAAGTGATTGCAATAAAGATCTTTTATTCCAGAACTAGAGGTGAGGTAGCCATGGTCCCACCTTTAAGGACGTTCTGGGGACCCCTCCCCACCGTGGGAGCTTTCGTGGGATCCTGGGCAGGAACTGGGTTGGGCTTCAGGGAGTCAGTGGGAAAGACTGAATGCTTAGCTGGGATTTGTCAGATTAAGGACCAGGGCTTGCCTGAGGCGGAGGAAAGCCGGAGCCAGAGCTGTTCCCACGTGAGCAGAGGCTGGGGGAAAACCCACAATCAAAACAATAAAAATACAGTGATAGCAAAGCAGCCGTATCCTGAGTAATGGGGCAATACGTCACGCGACGGCTTATGAGTTCCACATCTGCAGGAACAGTAAGCCTTCCTGACCACCTAATTCTCCCTGTTGCGCTG